CCCCAAAACCCCAAAACCCCAAGAAGGCTGAATATTTTAATAGTTTTGAAATTGAATTGAATAAAAACAGATATTTAACTAAGAATTTTAAGAGCAAAATAAAATGTCAAGCAAAACAAGTGTTATAATCACAGGAGCAGTTTAGCATTAGAAATAAACAGTAGAAAAAGTAAAGTTTCTCAAGAAGGTTATTCCTGTCATGAGCAAAACAAGTACAGTAGCAAATATGAGGATAGCTAAGTGCTTTACGGAGAAGAGGTGTCTAGCAAATCAGGTCATTATAAAAGAAGGTGAATGATCTAAATCTCTATTCATGATTAGAGAAGGCGAATGTCTTGTTCTCTCTGTTCGAAATCCACTATCATATCAGTAACTACAATGATCGATAAGATTTTTTATAGTATCACAGATTCTTATAAAATCATGTTGGACGACGATAAAATTCAGTTTGGCAAGTAAATTTTACCCATTTAAAATTTTTATTGGATCCTTAACTAAATTTATACAGTGACAAAGGCTACTTGTCTCACAGTCTGAAGACTTTCAAACTAGGACTAATTACCAGAGGGGAATGGATAGGAGAAGAAGTAGTCAACAATAAAGAGAACACACATCCCTTTACAGTTATTGCTCAGAGTTAGGTGACTCTATTAGAAATATCGAAGGAGGACTTCTTTAATAGGATGCCCAAGGAATACATTTAATAACTGAAAGACATATTCCTTGAGAAAAAGTTGTTTTTAGCTCAAAGAATGCATGAAATAACTGAGATTTCTCATTAAGTTCAAGGCCTTGATGAGGACTCTGGGAAGTACGAAGATACTTAGTGGAGTATTTTGAAGCAGGTGCCTAAGGCCTCCAAAAAAATAGTGAACTACATTGGCAACAGGTAGCTCTTGCTTGGTAAAAAGGTAAAGTTATAATAATTTGATATTTAAATAGTATTTCATAAGGAATCGAATTTATTCAGGTGAAAATTAAATAGATAACTAAATACTAGAACAACAGTCAAGCTAAGAAGAGTCGATAGAGAATTAAGATTATACTCCTTAGGTTGAAGACTTAGAGAGCAGATTAAAATAGTCAATCTCAAGTTTCTTCAGATAAAGAAAGTAATCTCAATAGTTAGACCCTGAAAACTAGTCATTCCTTGATTCCAGCAATTAAATCTCCTCAAGTCTCATGAAAATTAACGTCTCAGCCTCTTAAAACACTTCTCCTAAGAATGATTAGAGAATTTTAAAGCAAGCAGATGCTTTAGGCTCGACGATGAAGTCAAAACGTGTGGGACAATTTTCATTTCTAAATCCTAATGACTACCAACATTTAGCACCATTAGGCAGTAAAACTGAGGTAAGAGAGAATTCGAGAAGGTTAGATTCTGACATGCACTCTAATCAGAAAAGATAAAGTCTAAGTATTTCCTCTGCTTTACCTTCCCCAGCATGATTTGACATGAGTTTGACAGCTTAGACTCCTAATCCAAAACGAATAAATTCAAATTTACCTTTGCAATTCAATATTGAGTCTACTGAAGTCAAGCTTAAGTTAGAAACTGGGAGAGGTACGTTTTCTCATTTTAATCAAAGAGGACTTTCAACTGACTAAGCTCATCATCTCAAGATGGTGATGAAAGAGAATAATATCAAGGAACTGTCTTTAGGTGGACAAGATACGTATCACACCAGCTAGCATAATAAAAGCCAAAGCATAAATGAAAGTAGGATGACATTTATGCCTTTCATTAAGAAAGCTGAAAGATAAATGTCCCAACGAAAAGCAGAAGATGAAGCTGTTGATAGAGACTATGACGTGCTAGAAAATATAAATAAAAATAGAAAGGAAACGCCTAATATCAATAGTCTACTTTTTTCATGCAGAAGAGGGAATTAGTCCTCTTATGTAGATAGAAGGAAAACTCAGCTTACTGGATAAAAATTGCTGAAAAATATAGAGAGAGAAGTTTTCAACAACAATCGATCAGTGCTTATTGGAAATGAAAGACTAGTTAGACTTTTAGGAGATTATCAAGATGACAAGACTGTCACATCTATGGGTTCATACATTCGCAAATTTGATTAAAGTCGTTTTATTTGAAATGGTCTCAGCAAAATCATTCCAACAACACTAAGAAAATTCTCTTATATGTAGCCAGGACAAATTTTAATATAATCTTAATTTAATTATAGCAGCAGCAACTATAATGATTAATTGGATTCTTGGGGTTTTGGGGTTTTGGGGAGATCGGAAGAG